AGACACACACACCTAAAGACGTGAAAAAGTGACATTTTTATTACTCAGTGTCGGCGTCAGTTTTACTATTGGGAGGTGTCGCGGGCGATGCTGTTCCGCGGTGGCTGTGCGATCTCGCACACGAGATATTGCGTGTGTATGTGGGGGAGGAGAGACAAAAGTTGCTAGGTGGGGGTGAAGGCGGTGATAATGGCATCTAAGTGTAGTAGAATGTGGTTGGAAGAAATGGGCAGTGGAGAGGGGAGGAGGGAGTATGAGTACTACAAGCAGGAAGATGAAAAGGATGGGAGGAAGTGGGATAGGCAGGGGGATGGAGACAGGGCCACCTGTCTGCCTGGCCGACTTCTCATGTATCCTACGCACATTGAAATGAGATGAAGACGGGGAGAGGAGGAGGGGGAACGAGGGGACATCACAATCGCAAGGTGTTGGTGGCTGTGGTGGTGTCAAAACTCGCGCCAGGACAGAGGCAATCTGGACCGGCGTGTTCCATGATCGCCTCAAACAACCTCAACGTAGTTGGCGGGATAGAGACCAACGCGACCGTCCTTTCGACCCTTGCACCAGCCTTGCTCATCCTCATCTTCCAACTTCTCGAATAGATCACCTGAAGGCAGAGAAGGAAGCGCCTCCAATTAAGCCGTTCTATTCACCCTTCTCAACAGCGATTAAATCGAGCACCTATTGAACCCGGTATCCACTAACTCATCCTCAATCCGTCCAGTCACTGCCCCGCTTTTTCAGTCGACTAACCATCTGTCGAAGCTATTCACCAACCGCGGATCGCTGCAAGGACCTGCAGTCTATCACTCTAGCTCGGAATAACTTGTCTCTCAAATGAACTGTCCTGGAACCTCCTGCCCCTGAATCCTCCAACCGCACCCGGTCTGGCCAGAATTCTGGATTTTCGCCAATCCATTCACCCATCAAACCGCTGGAAAGCAGGCCACTTGGCACAGCCACCGTGCACAGGCACACACATTTGAAATGCAAATGATCCATCGGTGTGATTTAATGGAGCCATGAAGCCACAAAACACGGCACATCGACAAACACACGGAGAAGTGGTTTGATCCACAACACATCAACGGCTTGCCTTTGATCTACCGACTCCAAGCCTGGCTAACCGCTCACCCACAAACCTGGGCACTCATCCGCTTTCAACTATCTGTGCATCAACTACTGCCAGAGGCGTCAACAATCGTAGATCCGTTCTAGCAAGCGCAGAACCAGGAGACACAAAACTGACCCGAATTGAAGGAGAGCTCGTCCGCCTCTACACCCACGTAATCGTAGAGCGCACGAATGGGCACACCAGGTCTGCCATCGTCCACAAAATCCGGGTAGGGTGGAGTGTCATCTACGCGCTGCTTCTCCTTCGATACAGCTGCCGCAGCTCCGTTCACCGAGGAGGTGTAGTCACTAAAAATGGAGGGAGAAGAAAGAGTTACGCCTCACACACCGGGGGAAGGAGGCAGAGCCGGCTAATCAGAGATCGCAATCAGGTGACATTCACTCCGAAGAGCAGCAGCAGCAGCAGGAAGAGGAGGCAAAACCAAACACAACTATTTCCTATAATTCTGTAGATTAGACGTGGTGTTTGGTGATTGTGGAACCTGTGTGTAGATGCGGATGTGTGCAACAGATGGATCAAGAAAAAATCGGTGGCATTGAAAGAAATCAAACAGGAGTAGTCACTTGGTGACAAGCTTCTGCGATTCTTCGGCTGCTGATGCTGCTTCGTCCTCGGTGTCGGCTTCGTCTTCTGCCACTTCCGCCTTCTTCGCCTCGCCGGCCTGCTCCTCCACGGATTGAACACTACTGGGGCTGCGCTTACGTTTCGAGATATTGGATAGATTGTCCACCTCTACAGGGCGACAACTTTCCGCCGTTGTCGGTACAATTAAGTGCTCCTTAGTGATATCGGCTTGATCAATGTCAGAAGTTGGTGGATCAGACAATTTGGGCGATTCAGAAGGCTCATCTAGGTTGGTAGATGGGGCTTCTGCGATGAAGCCATTGCTAAATTATTTAGCGTGGAGGGAGGAAGGGGTGCCCAATTGGAGTGGTTTCGTGATCGGCATGTGGACATAGGAGGTGAAGGAGGAGGGATAAGGGGAGAGGATGGTAGAGGAGGACAAAAACTAACAGGTTAGTAGGAGTCCCAAAGACAATTCCGACCGTCACTTCCGGATGACGAATCAAGCGAATCACAAGAGCACTATGTACCCCCATCGGGTTATCCCGTCGAGCAAGATTCTTCCCATCCGGTGACATCACAATCATCCCTTCCCATCACCGAGGTGTCAAGTCCAGGCTGGCGACATTCAAAAGTGGACATGCAAGGAGCGAGCTCCGAGATTCATACACTAGATAAGGCACCAACCTCGTCATAATTAACTTCCAAGCTTGTGAAAAGATCTTCAAACCAGTCCACAGCTTCAGGCCTCTGAAGGGTAAGGAGGAGGAGGAGAGAAGGTGGTGATAGGATGGAAGCAAGGTGTACATCGAATGCCTTCCAGATGGACATCGCCTAGTTCTAAGCTCTACCGCACGACCCTAATGCACGCCACCGTCGGAAGAGCCAGCGCCTTCGAGCAACCCACGCCCTATCGTCTGATTTTCACCTACTCGACTACCGAAGTCCTGAGGGACTTCTCACTCAAACTCAAATCCAGCATAGACGGTGATTCAGGTTATTATAACACCTTTAGATAATAGAGAAACTACGGCGACACAAAAAAGCACATACAAGCACAGACACACACACAGCTACACGTGCCAGGATCAGTACAAACAAAAAACTGACCTTGGCGTGGCACCCTCAGATCCGTGGTTGTAGCTGTTTGAGCCGTAGGCGCTGCACGGATAACTCATAAAATCAAGACAATAAAAAATCACCGGAAACAGGGTCATTCACACTTACGTAGTGTGGACAGGAGAGGTGGAGATATTAGAGCCTGAGTCAGTGGTCCCAGGGATAGGTCCACCCCGATCCGGTGAGGTGAATGTCTTCAAGCTTGTCAATGTCACGCCCCCGCTACTGCCATCCGCGAGGGCTGACCTGCCCTTCTTACCCAGCGCAGACATCTCGGGGCTGTATTCCTGGGCGGGGGGGGGAGGGGGGGGGAGCGAGGCAAAGGGGACTCGTAATCGAGGCACTGATTCATTAAAAAAGATTGCCATCTTGTTTATTACTTACCTGGAATACGGGGAAATTGGGAGCCATATCGACACCGTAGGCAAGAGACCACTTCTTTAAATCAGCATCGGCGTCCACCTTGGCGACAGTCTCCCTCAGCTCGACGAAGATTTGAGAGAGGCTGAAGGGAATGAGTGTCAAGAGATCAACCAGAGTTTGGTTGATCTTACGACTTGATAAAAAAGGGATCTCAAAAGGGAGGAGAGGAAAACGAGGCTGACCATAACTACAACTAACTGTGATCTCAAAGTAAGGTCTCTCACTTCAAAAAGGCGGTAGGTGGTTGACACAAAAAAATACGTGAGGGTTTTTGCCACAGCTCGTTGTAATGACGTGTTGTAACTCGTGAGGACGTGGCAACTGCATGCGGGTCTCCTGAACGCCATTTTCGCACTTTGATAGGGCTTTTGTATTTCTAATGTTAATTAACCGTCTATAGTCGGAGTGGCTTACTCGCTATCACCTCCACCCCAGGACTACCTTGAGCATGTATCTTTGGTGGACTTCGGACCAGCACACACACGCACGCACACACACACCACAGGATGGACGAGAGGGAGAGGTCGAGGCAATTCAGCGGACAGACTGCCGCAAAAAAAATTTTTTGTTGTTCCATTTCAAAATGCTTTCCGCATCAAAAAAATTCATTGCTTTGACTGCTTTACAACCAATCAAATGGGGTTCTGTGAAAGCGTCAGTTTACCGTAAATCCGTAGATGATAGACGGGTGGTAGGATGTGTTCTGACGCAAATAAACAGAAGTGCGAAAGGAATGCCATAAAATTACCCCACCAAGTCAGTAGATGAATGCCATGTTAGATATCGTCACCGCGATTGATATCTACCTGCAGCTGGCTGACCTTTTCAACCCGAAAGGATCCGGGTCACAATTCAGTTACTTACGCAGCAAAAGCAGTTATCATCCCTCATCGGTATGATTTACTACTGCGATGATTTACTGTCAAAAGGAAGCTCAAAAGTTCGCCCGGAACAGCAGTCCTACCGATAATTCACCATAACCAAGTCAAACACTACTCACGAAATTGAGGGCATCTTTTTTCTTCTTTTTGACGAAATTGATAGATGGAGTAGCGGCGCAAAAGAAATACCGACTAGCTCCGATGACGGAGAATAAAGAAGCGTTTGAAACACCCTCTAAAGAGAGATCCAAAACCTGACCTCCATAACCCTCTCTCCCTCCCCTCTCGTTGACTCAATGACATGACGGAGCTAGTTAATTTTCAAACGCATTCGAACGATTGACGAGCAGCCGAGTGGAATAAAACACCGCCACGGTCGGGCGATAGATACCATTGGACGCCTAATTGCAGATAGAACCAAAGGAAGTAGCAGGATTATCAAAGAGTACAAAGTAGCCCCGATTTTGGAATGGGTAATTTAAAGCACGAGCTGATAAGACCTTTGATTACCTTCTATCGTCGCATAATTAGCTAATTAACTAGTCAATCGGTCCAGTGGGAGTGACTACCCCTCAGGGTTCAGGGAATGGCTTCAACTAACTGCGTCCCCAGCTCGAAAGAGGGCGGTGAACAGATGAATAAAGTAAAAAATGATTTTCTCGTCAAAAAAACACTATGGAAATGCCGGTTAAGCTGAGTACTTTTTTAAATGGCCTTCAACATCTCTTTGGAGTTAGGAAAACGAGAAATCACTATCAACACAGTCAGTCTGGTGCCCCGACAAAAGACGGTCAATAAAACCAGGTTCACAGATTGCAGTTTGATCAACAATAAGAAAAATAGGATAAGGTAAATAGGGGTTCTACTGTCAAAGTAGAGAAAAGCCTCAAAACGAAGTTCCTATAGCAAAAATTACTCCCTTTCCATCCAACTGAATACCCAAAGGGGGTCACAACAAGTCAAGCGGATAAGAGTATGGAAGACAATCCACAAAATCGTTGCTAATGTGCCAGTCATCAGCAAATTTTCTCGAGACCGACCAACGCAAAACGGAATCACGTGCGTGAAAACGAAAAAAAGAGGAGGGGGTAAGGCGAACGAAGAAGTAAGTGGGTGAGCGAGTTTACGAAGCATGCAGGCAACCAAGTCAGCCATGCAGCAAGTGGGGGATTAAGAGTCGAAGGCGGAGTAAAAGGGGAAATGGCCACACTTTTGTCAGGCATGAAGAACCAATCAATTTCACTGGGCTCATACACGCACACAAACGCAGAGAAGACGCTCCTTGGGAGCGCGTAATTTTCACTGGCCCTGAGTTGCCTCGACTTGCTCTGCTACGGATAAAGTTGAAACAAATTGCGTCTCCATACAACTTTTCCTAAGATATTTAGGTGGGATCAAGGAAACACGACTCCGAGCACGAACCGATGACTCGGATTTCAGCCTTAACCAATGGGATGAGCTGACGTGCCTAGTGCAAACTCTTCATTAAATATTGAAAAATTTAGGGATAAAAAATTACACGGAACTCGTAGTCCATGTAGAACTTTACAGCTGCTTTAATAATTCATGAATCACATCAACAGCCAACGGTTTGAAATAAGGTTCAATGCCGTTAAGGTAGCCTAAAAGACCAAATCTGAAGACGCTCAACGGACGTTGGAAAATCATGTCAAAAAGGTTGAATTAAGAGCTTAAAATCCATTCTTTGCACAACGCCTCCATGAAGGATCACAGAATCCTAGTTTGGTGTAACATCGAGATGATAGGACATCAGCAGTTCAGTTGATCACGTCAAGACTCAAAGATTACTCAACGATTCGTGACTCTCAACCATGATGAGAGGTTGGGACAGTAAAAAATGATAAGAATGGAGGATCACACAGACCCACAAATCGTCCTCCAGAGGAATTCATGTAATAAACTCGACGATTTGTAACTCATAAAGCGACCATAAAAGGATTTGCCGTATTTACACCCTCCCCAGAATAAATAGGAAGAATTCGACAGTACATTGAAAGACGAATTTAACGTCACAGAGGGCACCTCGGAGTTGATGTAAAGTTATGCCCGTGGATTAAGCCTACTCGTAACGTAAAGCGGTACATTTAGGCATCTTAAACAGCAGTAAAGGACCCAGGGGTCGCAAACAGTACGAAAAAAAAACCAAACCACTAAGAATCTCCTATCCACGCTTTAACTCACCACAGGGTTAGAACGTAAAATTTGTAAAACCGCATCTACTATTTTCATGGGAATGCTAAGAAGGTGATCTAGTGTGAAAGCAGAAATTTGATTTAGCGGGCCAGAGGCCATCCTCTTTATAAGATCACATGGAAACTCGAAAGAGGGGCAACCACGCCATAAGCGGTAGCATGAACACCGATGGCTCAGGTTTCAAATCGCTGGTAAACTGATGCATCATAGCCGTATTAGCATGAAAGCGATGAGAAAGTGAAAAGTATTGAGCGAAGTCAGGCGTTCAGAACCCATCCACACCACAAAATCACCAATTAATGTCACAATATCTACTCCACTTGCGTATTTTTAAAAAAACAAGGTGATGGGAAGAAGGTAGGAAAAACTACAATCATGCAACTCGAATTAAGCTCAAAACAACCAGTCCCGGAATTCAAACAAGTAGAGATAATAATGCACCGTACTCGAAAAAGTCACGGATTGGAGAATAATAAAACCAAAAAGAGATATAAAAAGTGCGAACCGGAAAAATAAGAGTGATAATTTAAAGGTGCCGAAGTGTTAACAACAATCAAAAAAGATAAAAGGGCGGAGACTCACTTCGGTTTCGCCGAGATATCCAAAACCGCCTGCATTTGGAGGGCCTGCTCTTTGAAGTAGACGATGCGTTCACGTTCAAACGCCTGCGCCTTGTTAAACACCTAGATAAGGCAAGTAAAGATAAACGTATTGGCAGACCATAAAACAGTCATGGCGAAAAAATAATGCAGGCGCCTCAAGGCAAACACTGCGGAAGAACAGTCACACAAAGAGGTCAAAGCAGTATACACCTAGTCTGGATGTGTCACAGAGGGGCTACATTTACGACCCACCTGTGTCATATCTTCAATGTAGCGAGGTGTGACATCTGATAGACTGGATATAGCCTCCTCGTAGGCTTTTCGCGTCTTCTCCTCCTCCATTATCCCCTTTCTCAATTTATCCTCCATCTTCCGCAACTAAAGAATTTGCAAGAAACTTTAGATTAACAATGGAGTAAAGGGAGATAAAGGCACACTAAGAGCAGGGTAGGTGGGAAGCGCACTAGCTTTCTGGCCTACAATATCTCGTGAACGTGAAATCTAATCAGGACATAGAGGGGGCATAACCTTACCCGTTTCTCGTGGCCCTACAAAATTCGACAAGAGCAGACCATTTTACCACTTTTTGAATAAGAAAAATAAATGCCAAAGACTAATTTGACGGCAGGGAATCCGAATGATTACTGCTAACGTGTTGGTTATCCGTAAGATTACTTCTACCAAGCGTGAAATAAATCGAAAGATGGCGGGAATCAGTAGGGCTAGGAGCACAGGATTAGTCGAGTGGTTTGGCGAATTTAATTTGCCTTTTAAGCCACTTACCTCCTTGCCACGTTGGGCCTGCTAGATTACGCAAAGCCAGTACAGTCATCCAAACATTAGTGCAAAAAGGGCAAAATAACTCAAAGATAAAAGGAGGACTAACTTGTTCAGGAGTTCCAAACGGCTCGTTCTTCGCATTTTGAACTTGAACTTGTAACGACCTAACAGTCTTACAGGCATGAAAATACTCCTTCTTGCAACGGTTTACATTTTTGTAGTGCTTGTACCAGGTCTTCTGGGCATTTTCAAATTCCGAGTCGAAGTTTTTAACCTCCTTGATCGATGTGGAGATGGAACTTTTGTGGAAGTTCTCCCTTTGCCAGTTTTTAATGCCCAATTGAACAGGGTTGATAAGACCAGCAGCAATATTCTGCGAAGGAAACACGAAGATAAAGACACAACTTATGAAAAAAAACTAAAAGAAGGTTTAAAGAAACTCACGGAATGTAGTTCCGCATTATCTTCGGCTTCTTTAGCTAGGCCAGAGAGGATATTGGTGGCAGTGCCATACTCCACACCAGTTCGCAGAAACATTTCGAGTCGGGCAGCAAACTTGCGAAGATTCGAGGCGTAAGCCTTTTCAATATCTGCTCGCTCCTGAATCATCAGAGCGAACTCAGAACAGAGTTTATTGGCATTTTCTGCCCTCTTAACCGTTCGGGAATATTGATGGGGCTCCCAAAAATTGGCATTTGCACCAGTATCAAGATCTAGATCCACAGGTTGCATCGCAGAAAAACAATCACACACTGGTGAGAGACGATAGGCAGCACGAGAACTAACAATGTTCTAACTGATAGGGGATAAATCGCCATTGAAATTAGTACAATAAAACAATACAGGGCAAATAAACATTTTATATAAAATAAGTGCACAAAAGCCTTAAAAACAGACAAATATATTAAAAAATTCAACAAATGGTAAAAGTAGTAATAATATAAGTGCACAAAGTGACTGGATCCAGGTTTTTTGTTAAAGCTAATGCAGTCATGCATGGGAGGCCTGGCAACATCTTTTTTGCAAGCCTCTATTTACTTGAACAAGGCATTGTGAAAACAATTTCTAACATGGCCTAAACGGGATTCTTTTTTGACGCTTTGGTAAGATTTTATTTTGCCTCTATTTTAGTAGCTTCTTTAAAGCATTTTTACATCAAGTAGAGCAGACGCAAATACACATGTGATTTGAACGTTCTTCAGTTGAAGTTTTTACGCAGTAAAGACCGCTCGTGACGCTACATAAGTCCCTGGACTCCTTTTGGATTTTAAATTAACGGCATTTTAATTAAGTTTTTTACAAAAGAAGTTTCTTTTTTTGCAACTTTTTTAAATGATAAAACAGCAAAATATTCTGCCTGTTCTTCTTAACCCATCCTTCTTTCCATTCACCTAGAAAGTTTATCTGCATTTTCGTGATAGTGCAAGTTGAAGGTTGACCGATTGAACACCGAAATGACTGGCGTTGTTGGGAAAGTTATTATCCCTAGAAAGTCAGATTTTGACAGTTTTATAGACCTCGCAACTGACTCACTTGGGTGGGTGAAGCATTATTCCAGCAAATCCAAGTCTTTACCCATTACAGCTTATACAAAGATTGTCGAAGGAAATGTTGTACGGGCAGCAAAGGTAGTGATTCAACTTTTGTCTTTTAAAACAGATTGCTAGATTGAAGCTGTTTTTTGCGGTGTTTCTGCTTTCAATGTATACGAGAGCCTTCATGACCCAGAATTCCGGAAAACTTGGGATGATTGTATGAAGGAGGGTTCACGCATTTGCTACGTTGCTCCAAACAGTGAAATCGGTTATTACAGACGTAATATTTCTTTCCACTTTAAAAATTAAGTGAAATCGCCGTTTGGTTTGAAAGATCGGGATTTTGTTAATCAACGCTCGTGGTACGCAGATGAAAGTGTCTACATTATCATGAATCATAGCGTCGTCCATAAGGCAGGCTTATTTCTTCCTTTGACTGACGTTTTCTTCTTAGAAAATGCCACCAGTGGAAGGTGTTCAACGGGGAATTTCCTACGTCACTGGCTATCTTATCAAACCTCTTACTCATGACTCCTGTGACTTTACCTACATTTCTCATTCTGACCCACGAGGTAAACTTTATTTTAAAAATTCCTATCTAAAAAAATTTCCGTCTAAAGGCAAAGTTCCCGCATGGGTGGTAAATGCTTCGGTAAAGACTGTCGGTCCTATCATCGTGAAACGTCTCTATGAAGCTGCACGCAATTATGCGGCCTGGAAGGCTGAGCACGATCCGGATCTCAAGCCCTGGAGCAACTTCCACCAACTGCAGGAATCTCCACCCTTGGATCCAGCTGATGTTGGCATGCTGAATGCTGAAGCTGTTGGCAAGACCAATGATGAGGACGATGATGGTGAGGAAGAGGTTCCAGATGAATCGTCTCTTATGTTGTCAAATTCGGACAGTGGCGTATCACTCAGCAGTGTGGACCATTCCTCACCAGTCAAAGGACTCGATGTGAAATGACCCACTTATACTCTTTTAATTTCGTATCATCCGGAATAATGTGATTTATTTTTAAACAGTGAGGAAAACAAATGGTTTATTGTGAAAATTGTCTCAGTTTTTGGCCATTTTACGTGCGTGAAAGGTTTTTGCCCTTTTCATTATTTTCTCGTTAAAAGTACCTGATTTAGAAATACGATCGTAGATTGATACTGTGATGCTGGTTACCGTCATTTACTCCTCAAGGTCGCGTGGTTGTTTTATACCTCTGGAGAAAAATACCATCCAATTAGCTGGTATGCTGAGCCCTGCGTGGTAGGATCGAAGGGAGAGGTAAGAAGATGCATTGCGTGGTGCCTGTCACAGAGTAGCGTAAAGCTGATTGTGATGACTTAATTTCTTCTATTCCGTAAGTTCCTGAAACATGTGTAGGCTTCCTCTAACACATTCTTTCGCCATTGGAGAAATAAACAAGCTCAAAAAGTTATTTAGAGCGATAAGTTATCCTTAAAATGAAAAAGTAAGCCCCAAACTCTAGAATTTTAAAGTGCATTTTTAATCAGTCAATCAAAGAGTTGATCAAGTTCGACCTTAAGTACCTGGAGCATTTAGGAGCTATCAATAAATCATAATAAAAGTTGTTTTGCAAAGACAGGTTGCATGTGAGATCTTGAGAAAGAGAGAGAGAGAGAGTAGGAGGCTGGTGATGGGTCTACTTCACTTCCAAAAGTTTACAAAGAAGCTATTTCGCAACGCCTTCAACAACGCGAAGAGGCAGCCAGCTTAAGTTGTTAAAGATTGATGAATCTTGGGTAGGTGAACGAATAAAGCCGGGACGAATGTGTAGAGAAAAAAGAGGGGCTAAACTTTAGCGCTTTTAATAACGCATCTCTTAAAAAGTTTTCCCTTAGTAACATCAGCAATCAGTCAGGATAATACTTAAAAAAAAGAACGGGAAATGAAATCTAAATATTTATTTTCAATGCAAATAAGGTGATAAGCAAATATGAATTGTCTATTCAGTTATAAAATCGCGATTTTTCGATAGCTTGAGTCGCACCAATGCATCCTTCAGCGCTGCATGCAAGTAAATAGGTGATTGTGTAAGCACTCGCTACTTATTTGCAGATAAGTAGTATTTATGAATTAAAAAACAACTGCTATTTTTACATAAGCAACACACTTACCTGACCTTAATTTCGAGTGTCGGTTGAAGAGGTAGTGCTCCGAGTGGGCAGCATAGCAGCAGTTATTTTCATTGCTCTGGGCGTCACATACTACTCTTAGTTTATTTCAGCGGCAGAGATTGCGGATTTTTTGCGGTAAACAATAAATAAACTTACGCAGGTCACGTTGGAAATCTCCTCATTGGATTTGTCATTTATCATTTCATTCACGGATTTTCCTCTGGCTATTTACGAATCAGGCATCGTGGTTAGCTTTCGGGAATGAAACTTTTTTTGTTAAGAAACAAAAAAAGTGGAAGTAAGGTTTAATTATGGCTTACTGGAAATGGATGTGGCTGAGCGTACTTTGGCCTCCAGTTTTCCTGCTGCTTCTGTTTAATGGAAACATTGCAAGTTGCATTGCAGAAAATGAAGTGATTTTAGAATCGGAGTCTATTGTTACCAAAAGTCATCAATTCTGTAAATAATTTGGTTAAATTTGCAACTTTCTCTTTTAGGAATCATTCTAGAGTACCTACTTTCCAGGCTTCTCCGAGTTTTCCCGATTTCTAAAGGCGGAAAATGGTAATAAGCTGGCATCTGTTTGGCAAAAAAGGGCTAAAATCAAGGTGATAACAGTCCAAACCTTCAATGCGTTGACTGAGGGAGGCGATTAATTTCTCCGTTTTCTCCCAGAACACCACTTTCGCCTCATCGTCTGTCTGCTCCAGGTAAACAGACTGCTGAAAAAGTTTTCGAAAACCTTTTTACTAATAAGCAATAAGTAAAGCTGGTTTTTTGGAAAAATTGCCCGCGAATAGGGTGAAAGTGAACGGCGCTCTTACCGTTCCCTTATCCATCAGGTGCGTTAGCCCCCTCTGTCCATCTACAAAGAAATATTGCATCCATTATCATACAAGCATGTAAATTAAACGTTAAGTTGGCGAATGTTTGAATTTTGCTAGCTGCCTCCATGGTCCAGACGACTTGCTGAGTGTATTGGCTTCTCCTCCGGCTCTAGGGATTGCGATACATCTTTTTTGTTAACCTACGAATAACAGTAAATGCTTTGAAATGAGAAAGTGGACGTCATTAAGTCTGGTGGTATTGTTTAAAAATCCCTCGGCCTATTTTTTGTTCCTTTCCTGTCCAATTATCTTAAGTCGCCTACAAGGGCATGACTTGTAAAGATAACTGCTATCAAATTTTGACACCCGATTAAATGCTGAAACGCCTGATAATGGAAAAAACCTGAACAATTAAAATCTCTTGGTGCAACAAGGATTTGGATTGACCCATCAAATGGTAAGTTTCTTTCACTCAGTGCAATAGGACAACGTCAGTCTCTAATACCAAATCAGCCCGTTCCATATGACGGGTTGGAGTCGCCGGGAAATCTTCATTTTCTAATTCAATTGTTGTCGATAACCATTGTCTTCCCTCTAAAATGTAAAATTCATTTGTAACCAATCAAATTACTTGAGTTTATCGTATTTGCTAACTCACCCAACTCCCTTGAAAGTCGTCGACATTCTTTGGCATACCGATCTATTTCATGATGCAAAAATTCCTTCATCCGATGGGACTTGGCCTCATCCGCTTCTCGTCTAGATATTTCACTCCTAAAGGCATCTCTCTGTTTGGAAAGTTTTTGAAATTCTCCTAAAAGCTGACTTGTCTGCAAAAAAATAATAATGCAAACGAGTGATTTACGTGGTCAATCAACTTTTGAATGAGTGAGGTGGGTGAATTGCTAGATGGCAGGTGTTGAGGCATTGTCACACCGGCATCACAAAGAGTTCTTTGAATTTGAGAGCTAATTTCATCCGCTGTCTCGGCGACAGCACGTACACCCTCGAGAGTTTTTGTGAGGCAAGCTTTTTCCATCTCGACACCGAGAACTCGACTGTTGAGTTTGTGCTCCACATCTCGAAGCTGATCTTCTGCCACCTGAAGACGCAGAGTAAGTGTAGACTTCTCCTTGCAGGTGGCATCACGTTCTGCAATAATACGTTGAAGCATCTCCTGTTTGCCTCGCAGAGCTTCCTCCAATACCTTATTCTTAGCATTGGCATCCACAACATTCATCTAAAGCATAAGAAATACTATTACTTTAAATGATGGGACTTTAGGTAAGTTTTACCCGGTAGGTAAACAAACCTCTAGTTCAGCAGATACTTTGACGAATTTTTCTTCCAGATCTTTGAGGGACTGGGTTTTTTCCGCAAGCTTTTCGTGCAATTGCCGGTCGCCTATCTGACGGAATTGTTTCAGGTCTACCAACTCTTCTTCAATAGCTTTGAGACGTTGATTGGTAGATACTTGTAAGGGTCTGTTGTTAATTTTTTACAGAGGGGGCATTATTTTTATGCCACATCATAAAATATGGTGGACGTAGGGGACTTACTTATCCACCGTAACTCCATTACTTGCCTCATTATCCACTGGAGCCTATATTTGACAAAACATCAAAGCAAACTGTCTGAAGAACCGTTATGATCCATTTAGTTTCATCAAATTTGCCAAAATTTAGTACAGATTTAAACAAGGTAATGGAGAACTATAACAGATGTCCTAAAAAGATGCTGCTGTACACAAGGAGTCGTTGTTAGTACGCCAAGTTAAAAGTTGCTCTGGTGTTTCCAGTTAGCCAAATATATACATCCTTTATATCAAAAGTAATAAATTAAGAAAGATAGTTCGACATTCTTTTCTACCTTTTGAATGTCAGCGTCAGTAAAAGAGTTTGGATCTTGGCGGAATTCGGTCTCATCTACCTCGAGTTCTTCCAAAGCGCTACTACAAAAGTGTTTTGTAAAAAACACTTGTACTGTATTACTTCTTTAAAACAAACACAAAATAAAGTTGGAATTACATTGTTTTGATATTATGAAGTCAAAAATTTACCAGGCATTTTCTTGTGTTAAATCCAAAGCTGGAGTAACCGCTGTAGCCTGCATGTAAAATACATTTTTGAGGTGTTAAATATTAATAGCAAATTTTTACATTTATAATGGCATTTTTAAAGACCAGCAAACTGTGTTTGATTATCAGTCTGCATTTGTTTAATAATTAAGTGGTAATAAAAATACTGATATAGGGCGATTACCAAATTGAACCCAAAAAACAATGCTTCTGTGTATAGTTTTGTTATTGATTTGAAAATGGCATAATGGTCACCGTTTACAAAACTATTTTTACATTGAAAACCCACCTTTGTCTTATCTATACTGCTAATTTTTTCATACTCTCGTCTCTCAGTTAAATTATCACGAGGCATCCCTTTACCACTAAAAAGGCATTTTTAGATAAAAATCCATCTTCACTGTTGACTGGTACTTTCGGACTAAAATAAATGCTTGAAAAATTGTCATCTTACTCCATCCCTTGAGCTTCTCACACAATCGTTGGAGCCAGATTCTTCTTTTTTTGTGCTCATTAATTAACTTCAGTGTTACCTTTAAGGCGGCACGGACTTCCTACATCTGACGAATTTACTTCACAAGACATTCGGTAAACAAAGTTAATTTGCGACCGTCAGCGTTTTCCGTGAAACTTTACACTGACCTTGCAGTCTCGATTGCCTCGTGATACAGAAAAAGACCAGCGTGTGCAAAAAGTTGAAATGATATTTGAGGGTTAATTTCAATATTGCAACAAAAAGTATGTTCGAAGAACTTCAAGTTTTGATAAGGAGTTGATTGCCATTAATTCCTATTAAATGCATGTTGCTGTCTGAGTTGATACATTAAGGAATACCTGATTTCCTTTTGTCTTGTGCTACAACGTTCCAGCCTTCTCATATTTGCTTAAAACACACCTTTACCATTCATGTACACCACTTCGATCACGAGCATACCCCAATGCAACAACCTTTGTACTAGTTCAAAACGGTATAATTCCTGTCAAATTTTGAAATGACCACGGACCCTGCGCTGATTTTGCCCTGTCTTCAAAAGTATTTAGCCATCAGCAACAATACCTTCCACCCATTTATGATGTCTGCAAAATTGTATGACAAGCAAATTTACCCAAGTCGCCTTGTTAACTTGCATTCATTCAATCAAAGCACAGAAACGCACATCATTGTAGTAACAAAAGCACTGCTACTACTTTTTCCCCATTGTGTCCACTGAATATGTATTCTCATTCATTAATCTGTAGCGTGTAGGAAAAATACTTTAGCTTTCTTGATTTTTAGTGACAAATTTTCTTCTCCAAGTACCGGACAATGATTCTATCGAATGAAACTGCACAAAATTCTATTTAAATCGCAGTATTTGTATGACTGATTGCTTTTCTTCATTTCTCGCCACTTTTGTATCCCACATAGTTGCGTCTAGAAATTCACGCCCACCTAATTTACGATCCTGAAATGCTTTTAAACTGTGCGTTGTGCAACGCCCCAAACCTCCTCCGAAGTTATGATAAGCCATATCAACATGGAAAATTTTGCAGAGGAGCAAGGAGGTCCTCGGCACCACCAGGAGGTCACAATTTGCCCAGAGGAGGCTCCGACCATCGAGAACGAGAAGCCCGCAAACATAAGTTTACCTCTCTTCGGTAAAGTGAAAATTTAACCCTCTCTGATCATGGTGTTCGCGATACAGATACGAAATGCTGACGACGACGACGCCGACGACGCCGACGACGACGACACAGACGCTCTTAACAGGGACTTGTGATTCGGACGTGGCGTCCGCCTCTTCAACCTGTCAATGCGCCAACGTACCGATCTCTGCCACCCAACACACACACGCCCACACCCCAACCAATGCAATGCTGTAAAACAAAAATCGCGGGAAAAAAGGCGTTTTTTGCGTATTATATTCACCAACTTTAAATTGAAAAAAGCCATCATTAATAAATGCTGAGACAAACCACACACGCATGCGCACATGCACACATAATAACAAGAGTAATTTCAACAGAATAGACAAAGACAAATGTAGCCGGAGGCGGTAGGGGGAAAGGGGACGGGTTTTGGCGATGAGTACGGAGAGGGATGCGGGTAGGACGGGGTTTGACAGAGCTACCTGTTCTCTCCCCAGGGGGGAGGGGGGTGAAGAAGCTTCCAAATTGCATACGAAAAGGGCAGTTTTCCATGCCCCTCTAAACATATTACTTATATATATTAAGAGTAGCACCGTAATGCCCCAGATAATTAGTACTATTATAATATCAACACAAGCATTTAAACAATTGGTTTTTTGGTTTGCCTTTCACATTTTACCGTTCGGCAAGGTACTCCTCCTCCTGTTCCACCACCGTCTCCGCCTCTTGCTTCAAGAATTGCCTTTCGGTGGAACTGGCAACCGTGTTGAACTTGGCGTTGGCGGCTGCAGCTGCCGCTGCTGCAGCCATGTTGGAACAGATTTCGAGGGCTTGGTCGCGTAGTGACTGATGGCTCGCACTCAGCTCTGTTGCGGTAGCTAGAAAACGTGGATCCAGTTGTGACGCCGATGCAAGACGACGTAGATCAAAGAGAGAGCTCGACTGTTGTTGATGTGGTATTGGGGGTTGAGGCTGTCGGGGTAGACGTTGAACCACCACTTGTGGTGGTGGCGGTGGCGGTGAAGACAGTGGTGGTTGCTGCTCTTGTTGATAGTGCGTGAAGTACTGCGACTGGAAGGTGCTGGGACCTCGCGTCTTCGCGTATGGATGGATCCTCTGCTCCCTCTGAGTTGGCAGAAAGTTCTGCTGACTCGAAGCGAAGGTGTAATCCGGCTGCTGCACATACATCTGATTCGAAGCCTGACACGAAACCACGGAGACTGCGGCATACATCGAGGTCTGATCAGTACTGGGGTAACTGGCAGCCGTGATTCCAGACTGAGCGTAGGCGGAACCACTGAGGTGTGCAATTGATGTGGCGTCCTCGTTGCTCGCAGCAAGGCTTTCAGAGGGATCTGCAGAAGACTGGGGTGATGAAGAATCAATGATGGATGAGTTTTTGCTGTCTCCACCGTCTTGCCATTTCTCTAGGGAGCGTCGTCTCGCGTTCATGAAGAAGTTGGCAACCGTGGAGATCTCCAGACCCAATTGATGTGCAATTGTTGCCTACATAGCAACAAAAAAAGAAAACAAAGCATGACCTCTTGAAACGTGATGAGTGCATTTGTGCACTGCAAGTAGTGCACTGCAGCACTGTCAGTGCAAAGGCTGATCGAGTCATCTCGACGGGACCTGCCAGTGACAAGCGCCGCTACAATGATTTCTAATTCAAAGTAGTTAATCGTGAGAACGTGATGCCAGGAGGCAGAACTGGTCACAAATGCATGGGACGCAATGCCGACATTGACAACGAACCTGCATCTCCTTGCTGGGACGTTTGGTCTCCTTGAAGATGGCGTGAAGAGTGCGACGTTGAATGTCGGTGAAGACGAGACGTGGCTTTTTAATAACTCGAATTTCTTCATTCCCTACACCAGGCATAATCTCATGATCCTTTCGTTTGCCTAAAAATACAAGTAAAAAACAGCTAGCAAAATTGAGGCCTGTAAATATGGTGGATACTGACAGTCTAGATAACAAAGCTTGCCAAAAAATAACACTACTTGACTTGAGGTGTGACACATCATTAACCGCTGATTCTCTAGGGCGGGGGGGTGGGGCGTGGTAAGAGAGCTCCCACAAATAAAATAAAAGGGGAGGTCGAATCCCAGAGACCATGTCATATGAGTGGAGTATCCGGGGCCCCTAAACGAGGCCTGACAAAGAGTTTAGTCTGGGTAACGCTGTGAGCAATCAATGCAGTGGCCCATGAGACCGATGGAGTGACTGAATATGCAACTTTGGGGTGGCGAATTACCCTTCTCAAACAAAATAACAATGAATCAAAAAAGTGAACCCTCGCTGTCTTCAAGATAAAGATTAGGTTTTGCATTATCAACTACAACTTGGCTCTACCATTCCGCGGTGTTGATGAAGAGGCAAGGCAATTCTAAGGGAGCACAAAAGTCTGTCAATGTGTTTAATCAGGCGACCGAAAAATATGGCATGGTTTGTTGCCACAGCTTGATACAGTGACTTGCTACGACTTTGGCCAGAGGAGAATGAAGACTGGCACCTATCTACTTATTAATGCCCGTGTTCATTCTCCTCTCCACTGTTTTCCTCCCATTTTGAGACCTCATGTCATGTCGTGTCCTGATCAGAAAAAAAGTGTCGCGTCGCGAAACCTTCAGTTAATCAACATCAAATGGGAAAGAGAAGTCATGGAAGTTAAAGCAGCAATTGCGGCTGAGACGTGTTTAAAAAGGAGATCTTCACCTACCTCAGCTTAACCTGGATTTGAAAGGGCGGGTTATACTGCCTCATTCCCGGTCCTCGTAGATCCTGAATGTGATTTCCTCATACTCTAGGTAATTATCACCTTAACTTGACATTTGACAACCACATGGGAAAGTAAACTGAGAGTTAGGAGATGAGGGTAGTGGCAAGGAGGAGGAGGAGGAGGAGGAGGAGGAGGAG